CTTAGTGGAGATAAAAATTTAAGAGATGATGTGAGATCAAGATAAAAAAAAAGAGGATCTTGTTCTATCTACATCTAGTCGGGAAACCACATCCCCTATCTCTCTACAATTCTTGATGAGTGATATTGTAATAGCCAGTGACCCATGCCAACTATTGTTATTACCCCACTTATCCATTCACCTTCTTCTTAAAAACAGGGTGTTTCATTAACACATATGGGGCACGCAACACATAAACCATTAAGTCCTCATTTAGAGGATGTTAATGTTGAAAAAGATGAAAAAAGGCCCCCTCCTCATATTTCTTCTGTGTACATAGAGTCTGAGAGTCCATCTCAATTTGGGCCTACTAAAGTAGAAGTAACTAATGTTCTTTAGCACTAGCATAAGTTTATGTGACTTCACTCAACAATTTTTTTGTCAATCTATAACAACACCTATAGACATTCCAATGTTGGGTGGTCAAGGATTAGGTGGAAGTCCTGTTCTATTACAAAGTACATACGTATTTGTTCCATCAACAAGACAACCTACATTTGTTGATCCTGGTTTCCTATTTACAATTGTGGCACAAGTTGAGTTTAACAATGTTAGTAATTGTTGTAAGAATGAATTTTCAAAAATTCATTCTAAACTTGATGAATTGATGGTCATAAATACAAGGAGTTTGGAGGATAGGGTGGACATTTGTAGGAAAATTTCAATGAAAAGTTGGATGGAGTGGATAAGTCTGTATTGTTAGTTGAAGATCAAATTGAGAAATTAAAGATGATTGATGAAGGTAACTTTGCTATTCTTTCAAGTTTATCTTCAAATTCTGTAAACAATAGTGACTTTCAGATCTTTCAAAGTTGTATTATGAATTTTTTTATCATTGACCAAAAGGATGGTGGAGATGCAAACTCAATCTCAAGCCTCTCTATTAGCTCATATCCAATTCCAATCCAATACACAATCTCAAACCCAAACCCAAACCCAATCTCAAGCTGAAACTCATACACAAACCCAAACCCCAAGTGATCTATCTGCTTCTACCTCAAACCCAATCCAAGCCATACCTAAAGCTTACATGCTAAATATAGAAAAGTTTGCTACTGTTGAACAATTTCAAGAAATAAAAGAGGATTTGGTGGATCTTATATACATGACTACTCTGATCAAAAAATATATGTATAATTTGCGATGTAAAGAACAGGCTCAGGGTGTTAATTGGAAAGCATGATAATCAGGATGCCGCTGATGATCATGAGGGGGAGAGAAGTAAGAAGTTGAGATTAGATGTTTCTACAGATTTAGATGAAACTTTCAGAGATGATGTAGTAGAAGAAGAAGTTGTAGAAGGGAAGTCTGGTGAAAATATAGATAATGATACGAAAGTTCTTAATCTGGGTGGTAGCTTTGAGAATGAAGAAGCAAATAATAGTTCTGAAGAAATTGAGAAGTTTGTAAATAATGAAGATGATGTGGATAATGTTTTTGATAAAGAAAGTCTTTCCAGTTTTGATGAGGAGTTCAAAATCTCACATGATGAATCTGAAGACAAACATGAGCAAGTTTTAAGAAACTCATGTCTTGATATTGTTCCATATGTAAAGGTTGATTTTATTGACACATAATTCTTTGAAGAGCAAAAAGTGAATTCAGAGAAAAATTCAGATTGTGATGAATTGATGGGAGAAAAATAGAGTTTGTCAACAAGATGGATTTGTTGTTATTTTAGATAACTATGATCACATGTTTTTGTTAGGTAAAGAGGAAAAGAACTTGTTAGAACATGAAGTGAATGGAAGTTGGCCTGGAGAGGTACAAATGATGTATTCCAAAATGGTAAACAGATTTAGAAGTGCAAATGAAAAGTTAAATCTGAATAGCCCAATCATTCAAGTTATAGAGTTTGAGGTAAAGAGTTTTGCTGCTATTGACTACATAGAGTTGGTAGTTATAAGGGAAGATAAGTATGTGTGTGATCTAACAAGTGTAGATTTCTTCAAATTGAGGTTGTGTGATCAATTATTTCTTCTCAAATTGTTTAAAAAAAGCTAATGTGTCTTGGGTTGAGTTGGAATAAGAAGGTTGATGGGGATCTACATCAGAAATCTTGGATTATATGATAAACAAATAGTTATTGATCTCAATCTTACAAAGGTAAACAAAGAAGATCCTTTGACACAGTCTTATGATGGTATTCTTTTGTTTGGGAAGTTTTCAGATGTTTACAACTTGGGTATCATTTTAAGACTACCAATAATAAATACGTCTTCAAGATTACAAGTATTCTCTTTTTTACAATAGAAGCTTTGAAATTCTTCCTATAAGAAATTGAAGCTGCAAATTCAATAGGAAAGGAAGTTGTAAAAGCAAGATTGATTGAGGCAATTAAAGAAAGATTGGAGAGTTAAGGAGCCTAGTCAAGAATTCTTTGAATATAGCCATTTCTGAAGAAACCCAAAGAAACTGTTTGAAAAGGATGCAAGTTTGCAAGTTGAGTATTTTATCTCTCCAACACTCAATTCTAGAGAAAAAGAAACTGAAAAGAAGTCTGAGCAGGTTGAAAGTACAATTGTGGACACAAATGAATGGTTTTTGGAATTCAATTCTGTCTAATAGAGAATTTAGAGTGGTTACTTATGTTGATTCTTTTACTAGGAAGTCTTTTAGGGTTCAAGAGAGAACATGAAGGGTTCATTGACATAATTGAAAAACTAAAGAGAGATGCGTATTTAGGTTTGTTTATCACAATATTTGTTGATGTGAAACAGAAGATATGGAGAAGCATTGTTTGATACATTTTTAAGTGGAAAAAATAGATGGGAAAATCTATGAACTTTGTGAAGCAGACTTCCCAAATCTTCATTTACAAGATATGTTTCAAATATACATAAAGATGGCACCATATGAAGACAAGGTTGCTAAGTTCAGAAAAGGATTGATTGCTATGATTCATGGCATTTTTAGAGCAACAATTTGGGCTAGAATGGTTGATTTTCAAATTGCATTTGTTCTAAGAAGAGAAGAGGGGTTTCTGTGTGCTCTTGTTACTCATTTAGATGGAATGGAAAATATGCATACAGGAATTGTTATCTGTGATCCAACTGGGTATATATGCAGAAATTCTCAAGAAAAAATCTTTTTTAGAATACATGACGTGCATAAGTATTGCTCTGGAACTTTGAAACATATTCATGAATATCTTGAAAAGAGATTAAGCAAGAGACTAAAGATTGTTAGCAAAGAGGAGTGGCCAAAGGTGAAGAAGCTGGTCATTTAGATGAGGCAGCATATTGAAGCTCAATTGAACTACATAAATATTATTATTGAGAAGTTTATCCCAATGTTGCTTGACAGAAAGTTTGATATTTGAAGCAAAGGGGGAGATTGTTGAGTTTATAGAAGTTGCTTCAAATTGGTCAAGCAAAAGTCTGAAGTTGGTGTATACATAGTTCTGAAAGAGTCGAGAAAATGGCTAAGTGTTAACTCTGAAGAGATGTTTCCAGAGATCTATAATCCAGAATTCAGAGTTCGAAAGAAGAGCTGAAATGACCAAGTGTGAAGTCTTTCAGAGTTCGACAGTTTTCAAAGTTTGAGAAGTCTAACTTTGAATGAGCAATTTAGAGTTAGATACTTAAAAGATTTCCAATTTATATCTTCTCATAAACGAAGACTTGTTTTATGATACTAGAACATGTGTCCTAATGTAACTAGTCTAGTATATCTTGTAACTATATCTTTTTCGTTCTAGTATAAATAGGAGTTAGTTAGTGTTTGTTACTTACTTGATACGGTACTTCATAGATTCAATTGTATATATTTCTCTTATTTTGTTTTGTACTCATAAACGTAAAGATCAATAACATAATGACTTCCATGCTCAAATATTGTGTTCTTGATTGATTCTTATGTTGATTCTTGACATTCTTAATCATAATCAGTTTACGGGAACATTCAGTTGTTATCAGAGTAAACGACAATTGATTTCTACTCTGTTTTAAGATCTAGATCTAATTTTCATCGTCAATTTCTTTCTGATTGATCAATTCTTGTTTCAATTAGATCGATATTCACCGTCTTTTCAATCAATTATTTTCCAAATCTTATATTATCCTTTCCGATCATAAACATTGATTCAAGATGTCTAAAGAGTATGTGAGCATCAGTTCTGAAACAAAACTGTTGCTCTGTTTGTTGGGGAGTATCAGCAATGGCCGCATTTTTATATTACGTGGTTTTTTTTTAAAACTATCTTTTTGTTATTTTTTTTTTTTTGTTCTTTTACAATTTTAACTTTAAATTTTACATTTTATAGATTTATCTAATCACATCACTCACAGTTTCACGAATTAATGAACTTTATTGACTCACGACTAAAACAAAGTTGTAGAACTACTTTTATAAATTCTATTTTAAATATTTGATCAAAAGCTATTTATATAATTATAATCTATAAGATTTCTTTTCTTCTCATATGAATATGCAAATTTTAATATCATTGCATGATTACATGGTATATAAAACATATATATAAATATATAATTCTATATATTACATACAAATTTGCCTCTTATATCACCCCTTAAAAACTGGACGTCCTTGCCGTGGCCATGGCTAGCAAGGCTTGAGGCTTGATTCACCGCCATCCCATGCCACCCCTCACGCCATTTTGAACTTTAATTTGATTACATGTAAAATAAAGTATAAACGACAGGCACCAGCCGCACCATATCAATTAACAGCTTCAATAAAGTTGTCTTCCGATGGTCTGCATACTAGGAAAAACTTGGGAGAAAAAAGTATGTACGTCTATCTGTGTGTGTGTGTATATGTATATGTACTTGCGTGTATACACACACAGATACTAGAGTAATACAATTTTTGAAGCCTTAGTTTCAGCTACTTCAACTCGAGAATGACATAACCAACCAACCATATCAGATCTCATTAAGCCATATATAACATAGTGGAACCATGATTCAATACAATGAAATGAATTTACATCCCACCTGACAATATTGTAATTCAAACAGAAATCCAGTTGTCTTCTTTTCTTTAGGTCAAGGGATGTCAGAAACAGTGTTGTATTCTTCATTCTTGGAATCATCATTAAGAAGATGCTTTGTCAATGGACCTTCCCTCTCTTCTTGGCTTGCCACTATCCTTTGCTCTTCTGTTTTTCCCCATATTACTGAGTAGAGACCCATCATTATGAGCACTGCCCCTAACAATCTGTACCATCATCTCAAATGATCACTTATCTATATTTTGTTTATATTTTTATATTCTGGTAGTTAAAAAAATCCAATGATATACATGGTTCTAACATTATCCATGTGTTATCACGTGGTTATCAATACATCTCCAGAATAAAAACCTGGCTTCCATCTTGATCTTAGATATACACAATTAGTAGTAAATCAATTAAACAACTTTGACTAAAGTACACATTTACCCGCCTAGGTACAGCTGATCATGGAGAATTGCAAAAGCCATGATAGCAACAAGAACAGTTTGCACAGGCTGGAAGATGGCAACATAAACAGGCCCTCCTTTCTGAATACACCATGTTTGAAGAGATATCACAATCCCAGATGAAACGATTCCCTATCACGTATATATATGTTTTTGTTATTGAAAGAAGCATTTACATAAACCAAAATTACCTGTATAAAATTTCGGTTATTTTAGTACTCTTGCTCAAATGGTTTTCAGACCTGAACTTAGGGTATTAATTAAGGCCACCATGATTTGCTATTTACATATAACTTTAGTGTAAACGTTATATGACACATATAAAAGAAGAAATCAGTTGAATTTACTGTACTTACAGCGTATAAGATGGTAAAAATCTCTTCCCCAGACTTGATTTTCCATTTATTGGGATCCCTCTCAAAAAAAGCCGCAATTACCATGAACTGGATCAACCCGAAAAAGCACGTGAAAGAGGTGAGTGAGAGTTTAGCTGGGTAATTCCTCACCACGGGAGCCTGAAATATATTTTTCAACCAAATTGTATCGATTACGTGATTCAATGCAGTGTACTTGGAAATGGCTTCTTGAAGTTGTTAGAATTGTTCAAGATAACATACACTTTTGGGGATATAAATACCGTAAAAGAACCTCATGGTAGGGCGGGTGTTATATCCGTCCCTTACGCAATGTTTCAAAATATATAATTTGTTTATGAGATAAACTAGTTGATAAGCTAGTTTACAATATAATATTACCTTAAAAATATGGGTTTTGGCTGTTTATGTGAAATATAATGGACATAAATGGAAAAAAAGTAATAAACAAAAGAGCTTTCCAAAGAGCTAGTTTATAACAAATAAACTTTGTAAACAAGGTCAAAATATAAGGGTAATTATGGTTTTCAAAGATGGCCTTATTACCTCATAAATCACTAATTCTCAGGTTTGAATCAGTTTTAGGTGTTAATCAATTTCTGTAAAGTTCAATGGATCAACCAGAAAATGGGGCATTTGCCCTATTCAAGTATATATATATGGGGGTCCTTTTGTATGGATCATGTAAACTATTTGCATCAAAGATATCATATACCATACCATTATTTCAAAAGAAAGAGAGAACATGAGTTAACCTGAAAGACCATCCAGCCTGCCCATGATAAGCAGTGAGCAAGCAGGTAGATACAACCCCAAGTCCAGTTGAGCATTTTTGGTGAGCCAGAAAGCATATCTTCATACAGTAATGAATCATTGACAATTGATGCATGTTGGTGAAAAAGAGGGGGGCCTTTATATAGAGTAGTAACAGTTGCTCCCCCTACACTTGCAAGAGTACCAATAACCTTTGCCAACCCATGTCTCCTTGCTATGTTAACTTTCTCAAGCCTAACATACAAGCAAAGAGTATATTAGCCCTTAAGAATGATAAGATATAAATGCGATACAAGAAGTTTGATCTTTTGGGACGCCCAAGAGCAATTAATGGGAATTTAAGTTTATAAGACCAAGAAATATGTGTACCATTTAAAGGCGCTAAAATACGTTAAGACTTTGTTAGACGATATTCTAACAATATCTGTTGATGAAGTTGGACAATCTAATAGCACAAAAAAAGTTACAAGACACATGGCATTTTTTTCATGTGCAACATATATACTTTTCATGGTCATATAAAAACACAAATAAAACAATGTAATTTTTGTATCCTATATAAAGGTTGTCCCACTTTGTAGATAGAACTCATCAGGTCGTTTAATTTCGTCATTACAGTTTTATCGTAACGACCCTAGATATGATGACAAATTAATTGGTCCTATAAACTTTAATTCTAATTAATTGGTTACTGTTTTAGAAAGTATGTACATCTTAAAAAAACATATTTTATTGTACTATAGAGTCAATGAACAATAACCAAATAAGAAAATAGTAGAATCACATCCAATTTTACACTAATTAAAATCATTTGTAAAATCATATGTGATTCACAAGGCTTTGGTCGTAACCTGAGGTCTTGCGTTGACTGTTATTACATGTGGTTTGACTGCTTTTATATTCTTTATTTTATTATTGTTCTCGGTTAAAGATGTCTGGTTGAGTATGCGTACGTAGAGAAACCCTTTGGGGAGGTTACCTTAAAGTAGAAGCCATGAGGAAAGTAATGGCAGGAACTGAGTTCTGCATGGCTGAAGCAAAGGTTGGAGTAGCATAATACAAGCCTAGTATATAAAACCCTTGGTTGGCTGTGATTCTTCGGAAAGAGGAAAACATAATTGAATCTATTAGTAAGTAAAAACAATATCTAGTACAATAAGAGAAGAAATAAAATGATAATTTAATACTATTTGGCTTATTCAAAATTAATATATAAATGTGATTTAACATGAAATTTATAAAAATTAATTGATCACGGGTCCTCGTTCGATCCTAGGCCTATCGTTAAACTTAGCCGTTGATTGAGGCAAAAATGACATTTACGCCGATGTCTTTAAAGACAGGTTCATATAAGACCGATTAAGATTATCGATAATCAACATTTATCCAAATAATTGATCATGGTTCAATTGTTTTAAAATATTTCTTTAACATAAAACAAAAAAGAAAATATGTGTATTAAAATCAAAGTTGCAAATTTAATTTAATTATAAAGATTTTTACTAGAAAAGAATTCTTGGGAAAACAGTTTATTTACTTTTGAAGTATAGGAAAGCTATCCGTAAATTTTACCCCTAAAATCATACCTAATTTGGTGGGATTTTATCTGGTTTTGTTTGGTTTGGTAAATACTTATAAATAATAAATTGAGTCATTCATCAAATACTTACCGGGTAAATGTTTACAGACAAAAATATCACTTTCATTTACCTTATCGAGCAAAATTTTTTTGGCCATTAAAATGGATTGTTGGTAAATGTCTTTTACTCAGCAAATACTTAGCAGGTGAGAGTTTTTTCTCTCATTTACCGGGTTAAATTAGAGTCTCGATCGTTCTTACAATGTCTCTTATCGGATAAGATTTTTAAACCTTACCGTATTCGCTCGAAAAGTAAGTGACATCCTATAAACGTTTACTCGATAAACGTTTGACAAACTAACCTAAATTGAATTAAGATATTACAAAAATGTGAATGTCGTATTTTTCTAGGAAAATGCGACAATGAAAATTCGTTAGCTTTTTCTGGAAGGCGAGTCTCAATCAACATTTCTCTTTTGGTACGTGAAGGCAAAAATTGATTTTTAATTTTTACTCAATTGAAACCAATACAACAAAAATAAGAGTATTGGCGAGGGAAAATTTCCTCGTAAATCTGTCGTTGATAGTCCGTCGGTCAAAAGCTCGTAGGTAATACTATCAGCGACGGATCAACAACGTAAATCAACGATGGATTTGCGAGGGTTACTTTCAATGACGTATCAGTGAGGGAACAGATTCAGCAACGGATCAGCGAAGGAAAATGTTTTTCGCTAATTCCCTCCCTGATCAGCGAGGGAATTTATTTTGGGTCTTTCTCTCGCTGATTAGTGAAGGATTAGCGAGGGAATTGATTTTTTGGTCATTCTCTCGCTAATCCCTCGTTGATCAGCGAGGGAACTGGTTTTCGGCCTTTCCCTAGCTGATCAGCAAAGGAATTGGTTTTTGGTCTCTCTCTCACTGATCTCTTGCTGATTCCGTCGCTGATACCTTGTTTTCTAACAGTGCAAACCAAATAATACAAAAGCTAAACTAAATGATCATTTATGTTAAAATCTTGTATCGAGTAGACTTAGATCATTTGCTTTTTACATATATTGGAACCTCTTTTCTCTTATTAAATACTCTTTTAAAGAGTAATCTAATGTAGTTTCAATTCAAATGTTTTTAACGAATGTAGACAGTCTGGGCGATGTATACTCGTCTAGCTCCATCTCGGCACTTTAATTACGTCCATCTAACCTCTGTTAGAGGGGGTGCGTAAAAAGTCACACATGAGACATTGATCATTTCTTCTTTATATATTAGAATCTTCCTCTTTTTTTTTAACTGGAATATTTATAAAATGATGTAATTGATTTCCATATATTCTCACAACTTAGTTTGATCTCACAAATAAAAATATGATAAATGGAAAATGAAGAAAATAACTTAAATGAAAGAAGGCTTATTATTCACTTACCCTATTAATGCCAGGAAAAAGAATTGAACTAGTATAGAGAATGTAAGGGGTGGCCTCTCTTTCCTGAAAAGAATGAAAGCAAAATTTAATTTAAAAATAAATATAAGGAGTTTAAAATATAACCCAATTTCAATCTTTATATAAATGATCAACGGTGTTGATTAATCTTTCTAAATTTACTTTCAATCTCATCTTTAACCGATTTAATAATTGGTTTTAAATTTCGAAATAAACAAAATCAAAAACGTAAATTTAATTTGTAAGGTTTGTAACAATTACATGGTTTATATCTGAAGTTTATTTCTCTCTCTCTTTCATCTCTCTCTCTCTCTCTACATATATATGTGTGTATATGTATATATAGCTCGATTGAAATAAGAAGTGTAAGTATTTTTTAATAAACAGAGAACTAATTTTTTAATTTATATTCACTGTTGATAAGCCTAATGATGGAATATAAATACAAGTAATTAAATTAATCGATGTATATGCTCAATGACAATATACATATTTTGATGAAATTTATATAGTATATATTTATCAATGAATAAAAACATGTACACACACACATATATATATATATATATATCCAAGGTTTTACATACACGAGTTAAAATGGATATCAAGTGTTTTTTTTTTTCAAAAGATTAGCTTATAAACTCGCTTAGGACATATCAAATGGGGTTTTAATAATACATTAACAAAAATAAGTAAATTTATGTTCGCCAAACGTAACCTTAAAACACTTGAGCAAGTATATGTATATTGGTGGATTAGTTGGCGGGACTTACTTCTCATAGAAATAAGCAAAAGGAGCCAAGAGAACCAACGCAATGAGGTTTCTATAGACGGGATAAACGACTTTGCTTATGCCAATATTGAGTGCAACTCTCGACACTATATGAAACCCTGCAAAGCACATTTGCAAGACAAGCACTGCAATAAGAAGCTTCACTTTTTCAGACACACAGACCCCGGATCTCGATGGCTCCATTTTACCTCTACTTATGGTGATGATCAATCTTGATTGCTTTCGTAGTACTTGGAGGGTCATATATTTTTGTGGTTTGGATATGATGCATATATGAACTCTTTATATATAAGTCAAGGGAACCAAAGTTGATTGTTTTTAGTGTATTATTGGTTTGATGGAAGCATGAGGGTGGCAAGAACTTTGTCACAAGCATATGCGAAGTAATCATCCAAAAAACATAGGTTGTGATTGCAATTATTTGCTTGTTTATTGTTATCCTATTTAATATTTGAAAGAGTTTGCAATTTCGATTCCTTATAGATAAGTATATTTACAATGTTTAAAACATATGTCGTGACAATATAGCGACTATCGACATGCATGCCCTAGGGTCAAGGCGTGTTCTTTTTCATGCACATTAACCCTCATTACATTTGGTTAAGACGTGACGGCTTAAGACTTGAGGCTTGAACTTACCGTCCGGTCATTTTACGGCTTACAACATTTAAAATCTTGGTATTTGCCATTGTTGTTTAAATAAATGGACGAGAAAAATAATTTTTATGGTTTTTGGATGTGATTTATAACTCGTTAATTCTCTATAATTTCAAAATGGAGAAGCAAAACTCAAAAGTTCAAAGAAAAAAATTACAGTCGAACTTTAACAGATTTTCTATTTTGGAGATTAGAACATTAGGCGAAAGATCAAGTGAGAAAAAGAGTTAACATGAGAAGCGTAAGAAGAGATTTAGACCTTGATCACCTTTAATTTTAAACTCACCCATGAATCGTGCTTCATATGGGGATTAACCTGGTGTATCTCATCTCGTTGCATCTTATCCTAATGTGTATTTAAGGGTGAAGATTCCTTTTTACATTTTTCACCTTAACTCTCATTCTTACCGAAACCCAATTCTACGACATTAATTGTAGTATTCATATATTTTGTATATATAATCAAATATCATCTCTCTCTCATAAATATTGAACATTATGGTTGCTTATGTGTGAATATAATAAAAAACTGTTTCCTTCTCATGGTAATTATTTCTAGAGGTTTTCCAAATTTGAAGAATTTCACTTCCTCTCCTGCTTTTTCTATTTTGGAGCAAAATTTTATCCAAAATCTTATTTTTTATGAGGAGATAAGTTGTACATGCTCTTAGTAGACCAATATCCATGGTTTAAAGATTATTTAGAGTTTTTTTTAGTAAGTATGTAAATTCTTGGTGGTGATTTGGTTTAGTTAATACAAGTGTAGTCTCTTGAAAAACTAAAAATAATTAATCATTTACAAAAACCTCCATAAAAATACATATATACATTACATATATGTACAAATATAACTAGCTCATACGTATGTACATATGTACATGTGTATATACAATATATATACACTACCAAAATTACCCTCTTTTCCGGAGGACAAATCCGCCGGAAATTGGGTTTTCCGGCGGATTTCCGGCGGATTTGTCCGCCGGAAAAGAGGGCGCCGCTGTTTTTATTTCAGTCGAGTTTTCCGGCGGATTTTTCCATTTTCCGGCGGAATACGGCCGCCGGAAATCTTTCGCCGGAAAAATTAAGAAACTTGGTTTACCTTAATTAAAAAATTTTAAAACTTTTCCGGCGGATTTCTCGCCGGAAAAACTTAATTAAATAAGATTTCCAAAAAAAAAATTTAAAAAAATTACCGGCGGCCAAATCCGYCGGAAATCCGCCGGTAATTTTTTTTTTCTCTTTTTTTTAATTTAAATAAAAATTTTCAAAAAAAAAATTTAAAAATTTTCCGGCGGCAAAATCCGCCGGTAATACATATATTTTTAAAAAAAAAAAATTTATTTTTTTCAGTAAATATTTAAATCCTGTAAATCTGTAAAAATATGGATAAAACTAAAATGCAACTAAATATCATACATTGATTAAAATAAACAATTGTTACAAAACATACAATTTAAAGTATGACACAATGTTACAAGCAAACTAGATTGTTCCAAATAAACAAATAATATTCAATTAGATGGCGGTGGGAATTGTGATTGACAGAGTTCGTTAACCAAAGCAGTCATATCCTGCATTWGTTTCAGAAGTTGCTCCTCTACCGTCCGTCGACGCTCATTTTCTTCTTGTAAATCCATAACTTTGGCCTCTAAGTTTACAATTTTCTATAAAAATAAATAAAACGTTAG